CCAGCACTCCTACACGCAGGCCCCTGATCCACCTGGGGGTCCGTCTGGGAGGAAGTGGGGCTCTGAGCTACTCTGTTATTGCTGTTGTTATTTCGCAATACCTGCCGCCCCCAGTCATAGGAGGTGCTTTTCTTTTTTTAAAGAAATATATTTTATTGATTCCAGAGAGGAAAGGAGAGGGAGAGAGATAGAAACATCAGTGATAAGAGAGAATCATTGATGGGCTGTCTCCCGCACACCCCTACTGGAGTTTGAGCCCACAAGCCAGGCATATGCCTTGGCCAGAATCGAACCTGGGACCCTTCAGTCCGCAGGCTGACGCTCTATCCTCTGAGCAACACCTGCTAGGGCATGAGATGCTTTTCTAAAAATTAGATACTGCCTTGGCCAGTTTGGCTCAGTGGATAGAGTGTCGGCCTGCGGACTGAAGGGTCCCGGGTTCGATTCCGGTGAAGAGCCCGTACCTGGGTTGCGGGCTCCTCCTGGGCCAGCGCCTCTGGTCAGGGCGAGTGGGGGAGTCAACCAATCGATGTGTTTCTTTCACATCCATGTTTCTCTCTGTCTTTCCCTTTCCCACTCTCCCTAAAATCCAATGGGAAATATCCTCAGGTGAGGGTCAACAACAACAAAAAGATATTGAGTTAATTCAGGTGGCAGCAAAGGTAGGCTTGCCATTGTGAGTGACGGAACAGTCCCTTCCTGTGTTACGTTACCGAGTGTGCTGTTTCCCACATGAGCCGAGGGCCTGCCTGTGCCCTACCGTGTGCTTGGGTCTGAGCAGGAGGAAGCCACATTTTCTCACCCCGGGAACCCACAAGCATGGGAGCCAGAGCCTCACCCTCGTCAGAGGTTCGGAGGCAGAAAGGGAGGAGGAGGCACTTGTGGCCTCTGAGCTGAGGCCATCTCAGGGCTGGTGGGGGGGGGGGGGGGGGCGGGCGCACTTGCCGGATGAGAAGAGCAGATGGTCTGTACGTCCTTCCTAAAACGTTATTTCCGGGAGTCGCTTGTTAGGGGCCAGGCCCAGGTGAGAATTCTTCAGGGAAGGTAGTTTCTCTGACCCTGCAGTCTTGATTAGAGTGGTCCATGGGGGCGGGCCTGTTCTGAACCCCACGTCTGTTCCTGGACTTGGCAGCCACACCCTAAGGGCTTGCTGCTTCCCTGCCAGTGCCGTGGCTCAGTTCCTGAAAGCCGGCAGCGTGTGTTCAGCAGATGGTGGTCTGCTCACCAGTGCTGCCTGCTCTTCCTGGGAGCTGGCGTGAGCTATTCCCTGGTATTTCCCGTGAAATCTTGCGCTGGTTGTGCAGCCCGCAGCCACTCTGCAGTTCGGGTTTGGGCCTCATTGCTCTGGACTGGGAACAGGAGAAGGACGTCCCTCCCTTGGACGCTCAGGCTCGCAGGAAGCTCGGGAGGCTCCACCATGTTGGTCACAAGCTGCCGTGTAGTCCGGCTGGGGTGTTCCTGGACGCAGTCGAGTCTGATGCTGCTGTGAACAGGGCTTTTGTCACATTCCTGACTCCTGTTATCGTTACCGACGGCGAGGAACGCTGTCCTTCTTGTGATCCGAACTGCAGCGGTTACGTTGAACGTGCACTGGTCCCGACAGCCTGGCGCTGGGTTCTAATTCCCGATGGAGGACCCTCTGTGGGCTCTTCTTTCTCCCCTTGATGTCCATCCGTTTGGTGGTTGTATGTTTGAGGAAGCTGCCCAGACGGTGCAGAGTGATGGACGACCCCAGCATCTCCCTGTCCTGGCCTTCAGGGGGGAAGGCCTCCGAGCTGCGTCTGCAATAGGAGGAAGCTCCCTGCCGCCGGGCAGCTCTGCAGCAGCCGGGGCTGGGGGGCACACGGGCTGTCTGTCCCCGAGAGCGCGCTCAGCCAGGCAGTCAGCACTTCACGGTGAGCTCCTGCCCCAGCCTCGGGGCAGGACCCTGCTGGGAACGGGGTGATCCCCTGTATGTGCCAGGTCCAGCAGCACACCAGCACGGCAAGCACTGGACGTGTCCACTGCGATGGACCGGCTCCCATGCTGTGAGCAGGTGCCTCACGTGTCGGTGCATGAACAGACTGGGGCCTAGCCAGGCCCGGGCTCTCGCGTGGATGTCGCTCTCATTTCTCTTGGAAAGTACCTGGGAGGGAGAGCTGAGCACACGCTGTTTGTTTTCTTAGCTGTTTCCTTCTTGGTGACGAGTCTGCTCAGATATGTGGCTCGCCTGTTAAGTAGGTTTGTTTTCTTAGTGTAAAAACACGTTCTGGAATAGGTCTTTGTTGGGAAATGGATTTATAAGTGTTTCCTCCCAATTTGTGGCTGGTCTTTTATCCTCTCACCGTGGTTTTTAAAGAGCAGGAGCCTCCGTTTTGATGAAGCCTCATTTATCAATCCGTGTTGTGTCTAAGAAGTCTTTGCTAACAACTTCCCAGAGGTTTCTCGAAGTTTTGGGTTTTACATGTAGGTCCATGCATGGGTTTTGGTAAAAGTCTTATTGGGACTCGGCCGTGCCATGGTTTGCCAGCCACGGGACTAGACGCTCTGCAGGAGAGCGGGAGAGGGGCGCTGATAGCAGCTTCAGGGGAACGTTCCGTCCAGGGTGTGAGGAGGAGGAACGAGCAGTCCTGGCCACTCCGCCCGTTACAGCAGGTCCGAGCGCAACGGTGCCCTGCTCCAGAGCGTCGGTGCTGCGTGTCCCTCCACCCCACCTCTCCTGGCCGTCCTTTCAGAACGGAGAGGTGGCTCTGCAGCATCCTGGCCAAGCGTGGCGCGTGGTGGGCCCGGCACCCACAGCCACGGGAGCCCTGTCGTGGGGCTGCCCCCTGATCACGTGTTCGGCGGCTCCAGGAAGCATGTGAGGTGATCATGGGGAATGAGGAGGGGGGGGGGGGCTCTCCTGCACCTGTCAGTCAGAGCGGCCGCTGTGGAGTAGCTTTGTGAGCGGCTGCGCTGCAGAGCGGATGGGGAGGCTGTGAGGTGGGAAGGGCAGCTTCGTCTGGGAGAGGAGCCTTTTCCAATGTAAACTGTTTGCTTTTGGACCATGCTTGCGTCAAAGGAGGACATGGGGCGGGGCAGGGCGGCGTGGGGCCCCTCCCGCCTAGCCTCCACCCATGTCCAAGTGGAGTCTGCACACGGAAGGAAGGAAGGAAGTTCGTGTGGTCTGATCTTTCTTCTGTCGCTTTGTGCACACGTGACAAACGCGCTCTCTGTGCTAATGTGTTGTGAGAGCTGACACGGCTGTGCATGCAGGCCCTTCCTGGGCTGCTTGTGCCTGGGCTGCGTGTGCCCTGGGCTGCGTGTGCCCTGGGCTGGGCTGCGTGTGCCCTGGGCTGGGCTGCGTGTGCCCTGGGCTGGGCTGCGTGTGCCCTGGGCTGGGCTGCGTGTGCCCTGGGCTGCGTGTGCCCTGGGCTGCGTGTGCCCTGGGCTGGGCTGTGTGTGCCCTGGGCTGGGCTGCGTGTGCCCTGGGCTGCGTGTGCCCTGGGCTGCGTGTGCCCTGGGCTGCGTGTGCCCTGGGCTGGGCTGCGTGTGCCCTGGGCTGCGTGTGCCCTGGGCTGTGTGTGCTTGGCTTCACCGGGCCCTTTGCAGAACCGCAGGTGGCTTCGGTCGTTCCAGGTCTTTCGTGAATGACCGGCCGTGCGTGGCTGGCACACACCTCTCGGTGCAATGCCAGGTTCAGCCGTCGATGTGCAGCTGTGATCGGCCCCGTGCCGCAGGTTTGTTTAATTGGGTTGTTGTGAATCACTCACTGTGATGTGCCATCTCAGCTGAACGGCTCTGGGAGGCCGTGCCGCTGGCACGGTGGCGGGTGCGAGGGCCTGAGTCACCGCAGGGTCTGTTCTCACCGCACAGGGAGGGTGTGTCAGGCACTGGTGTTCATTGTTACTGTTTCACTACTGCACCTCCCACGCCCACAAAGTGCGAGTGCATCCATCACGCCACAGAACACGCCCGCCTCCCAGAATGCTTGCTGGCCTCTGCTCAAGACACCCCCACCCCCGAGACACCCCCTCCCTCGAGACGCCCTCTGACCCGGCCTCAGCGCCTGGCTGTGCGCTGCAGCGTGCTGGTCTGCACCTGCCTGCCCTTGTCACATGGGTCCGGTCCGGGGTAGATGTGCGTGGTCCGACCTCACCGCAGCGACTCAGCGTCCGGCACAGCGCCCACTGCGGGGAGCTGCCCTGAGCTCTGAGGTGGGGAGGTGCCCTCGCTCCGCCGTGCGGTGTTGGCGAGGAGGCCGGTCTCGGGAGGGGCTCTGCCTGGTGCAGGGCTGCAGGCTGCTTCCCAGAGCGTCCCGGGCGGGTGCCCTGTCTCTTTGCTGTGACGGGGTGTGTGTGTCATCGCATCTGTTTGAGTTACTTGTATTTCCTTTCCTGTGCGTTGCCTCTTGGGCTCCCCTGGCTGTCTGTCTCCTGAGGGATCTCAGGGGTGTGTAGGCGTTCTCGTGTATGCGGGTGTGTGTGTGTGTGTGTGTGTGTGTGTGTGTGTGTGTGTGTGTGGTCATGCTGTGCGTCCCGGCTTTTTCCACTATGCAGGGAGCTTGAGGCGGTTCTGATGGGTCTGCCTGCAGACACGCGTCTCCAATGCTCCCTCAGAGGACTTCCTGAAAAGAACAGGCGCCTTCTCACTCACCTGAGAAGTCGTTTTCCACCTGTTCCTAACATTCTTACTGATTTTTAGAGAGAGGGAGGGGGAGAGAGAAACATTGATGAAAGGGAAGTATCACTAACCGGCTGCCCCCTGCACGCCTCCCGCTGGGGATCGAGCCTGCAACCCGGGCGTGTGTCCTGACGGGGAGTCGAACTGGGACCCTCTGGGTCCTGGGTCAGCGTGCAGCCGTGGAGCCACACGGCCGGCTCCCACTCCGCTGACGTAGCTGTAACTTCGGGGGACAGCAGAGACACGGAGACCGGCTGTTTTCTGCCCTTTAGAGAGCAGGCTGCGGGAGCAGGAGGCGTGGGGAAGGTGCCGGAGGTGTGACAGGGATGTTCCCATTCTCTTACAGACTCGCCCGCACCATGTCGGCGCCATGGACACGGACGCTGCCCGCCCTGCTGCTGCTGCTCACGGCGGTGTGCATGGGTAAGTGCCCCAGAGCCCTCCCAGCCCGGCAGGTGTTTCCACCGAGGATCACAGCACTGGGCTCCGGTTTATCCTCTGAGCGCCGTTGCTACGAGGACGTTGACTCAGTGATTTACGAAGTGGGATGCTGTGGGCTCAGTAACAACGGCTGTCGGTGGGAAGGGAGACTGCTTTTAAATGAAGGATTAGGAGAACCATCAGCTGTCGCGCTTCACCTGACGCTAAGGCTGGAGCCGTGGTGGGACGGGTGTCTTAGGGTCACCGGGCATAGGAGGGTCACCGGGCGCAGAGCCTCCACAGCAGCACGGCCCATCTGCACGCTGGCACGGCCTGCCTGGTGCTGCGGCGAGGCTTGTGGCACGTGTCTCCCGTGGGCTGGGCACCCGCATGCATCCCGGCTCCAGGGCAGGGCCACGAGGAGAGGCGTGCTTGAGGAGGTGGTGTTTGCACGGCTCGGCCTGGAAGTCAGTGGCACACCCTGCGACGGGGCAGGCATGGGTAGCGCAGAACCAAGGGGGAGGCGGCAGCTGCCCTCGGACAGACTGCTCGCCGCCTCTGACCTCTGGGTCAGCGAGTTGACCCTGGGCCACCAGCCAGCTCAGCATTGATCTGTTTGGACCTGCAGCGGCAAGTGCCAGCTGTGTCCTCACGTTCCCACCCTCCCACAGGGCACCCGGCTGCTGTAACCGTGCCTTTCTCAGTGGAAGCCGCTTTCTACAATCTGGTCTCTGGGAGCGGGCGGCCTGTAAAAACGGGGTTATGTGGGGAGGGGCTTCTACGGAGCCATGTTTCTCTCTGGAAATGTGAACATTACCCTTTTCTCCTGTCACTCTCGTTCTGCGTGGTTAAAACTACTGGCTCCCTGGTCATATCATCTGTTCTTTACCTTGCAGTTAAGTTTATGTTGCTGTCCCCTTAGTCTAGAGGCTGTGTCTGGGGGCTCCCTGGGGGTCACGGGCAGCTCGTCACTCACGGGCGGTGTCCCGGGCACGTGACGGCGGCCAGGCCACAGCCAGGGAGACGCAGCCACACCACGTGCGCCTTTGCCCTTCCAGGGGAACTCCTGGATCCCTGTGGCTACATCGTCCCCGAGGCTCCGGTCGTGCGGCTCGGCTCTAACTTCACGGCGGTCTGCGTGCTCCTGGAGAAGTGCATGGACTACTTCCACGTCAACGCCGCCTACATCTTCTGGAAGACCAACCACGAGACGGTGCCCCGCGCACAGTACACCGTCCTGAACCGCACGGCGGCCAGCGTCACCTTCACCGACGTCGGCCTGCTCAGCACCCAGCTCACCTGCAACGTCCACGCGTTCGGGCAGATCGACCAGAACGTGTACGGCGTCCGCGTCCTCTCCGGCCGTGAGTGCTCAGTGCCCCGGGATTGCGTGTGCAGTGTGTGCGTGAGTCTGAGGAGATACAGGCCTCGTCCGGCCAGTGTCTTTTAAAAGCAAGCTTAGGAGCGGAACCACAGTGTCATTACCAACATGCAGAACCCCTGAAACCGAAGTTGTGTGATTTCCCGAAAGCCCGGGCCTATCGTTTATGGAAAAGTCTCTGACAGGAGAGGCCCTCCTCCCAGAGGAGGGTGGTCGAGCTGAAACCTGCGAGTTGGTTCAGAGTCACCTGCAGTGAGTGAGCGCCCTAATCGCTAAGAAGCGCGCCTGAGCAGGGGAGAGAGAGCGGGAGGAGTCTGTGTCCAGGCAGGTGAGCTGGCAGGACGGCGCTGCGGCCGGGTCTGCCCACATGCCGTTGGCTCTGCTTCCGCACGATCAGAAGGGCGGAGGGAGAGAGCCCGGTGAACGCGTTGTCTCCGCCTGTCTCCTCTCACTGACGTGCGCACACTGCTTCCTTCCAGAGGGCGCTCTGGGGACGGCGCTCTGTGCTCAGGGAGTCCTGCTCAGGCGGTGTGAATGCGTGTTGGTGGTGGACGCGGGTGTCTGACAGTCGCTCCGTTCCCCTCCCAGTGCCTCCGGAGAAGCCCACGAACCTGAGCTGCATTGTGAACGAGGAGAAGAGGATGACGTGCCAGTGGGACCCGGGGCGGGAAACGCACCTGGACACGAACTTCACCCTCAAATCCGAATGGCAAGTCCTTGGTCCGGCTGTCCCCGTGTGTGAGGTTGGGCGGTGCGGGGTTGTATTTGTCCAGCAGGAACGTCAAATGCAGGTTTTAACACTTTATTGGACCTTCAGCGTTAAAACATCGGAAGTGTGAGAGGGGGAGGAGCCATGTAATGAATCTGTGTGCCACCGCCCAGCTTTAGTGACGGCAGCTCTCGGCATGTGCTTTATGTGTACACCCCCCAGCTGGTCTGAGGTCACGTTTCTAAAGGATACAGACATTTTACATTCCACTGTCACACCCAAGTGTGCCTGACACTACCTGAGCGCTGTTGTCACGTTTCAGTTAGTGCTGTTTCCTCAGTTTGGGTTTATACTTCCACTTTAAGAAACAACAAGCAAGTCTACGTTTCCTTCATGGATGCGTAATGTAAATGTGAGTGAGGGGAGAAACCGCCTAAACTTCCTGTGGAGACAGAGGTCTGAGAGCGGTCACCTGGCCTGCCTGGCGGGCCGGGGCACGTCTGGATAACACAAACCCTGCCCCCCCCCCCCCCCCGTGCCCCCTGCGCAGAGGCCGCCTGCCGGGAGGACTGTGCAGCCGGAGGACTGTGCATGAAGGGAGAGGAGCGGCACTAAGCCTGCGGCGGGGAGGAGCGGGGATAAGGGGCGCGCCGAGGGGCATGCTGGATGGAGTAGGCGTCTGAGAACAACTCTGTGTAGATACAGATTGGTGTTTTAAGATAAGAGGTCAGTGTGCCACTCCAGCACAGCGGGTCGGTGAGCCCGAGGGGGCGGTGAGGGATTGGACAGATGAGAATGCAGCTGGGGCCTGGTGGGCCGCGGAGAGACGGCCGCGGCCTGCAAGCGGAGTGTTCATAATCAGAGCACACACAGCGAACATGCTGACAGTGTACCTGTGAGCTTCCCTTGTTTGGCAGCACCTGCTGCACCTCCCACCGCCCGTTAGCGACCCAGGCAGGAGCGGGGAGGGCTCTCAGGCCAGGCTTAGTTAGCGTAAGAGGGCTCTGCCTCCACGCTGGGACTTGTTTGTGGCCCTGCCAGGTCAGCCCGAGGCTTAGCCCTATAGCCGCCCCTGCAGGTCAGTTTTTAAGGAGGTCTGTTTTTTAGCAGTCGGTTATTTCAGACGCGTTAGAAACTCTTCACACTCGTGTTTCCGGGTCTCCTCTAATGCCGACTCTCCACGTGTGTATTCAGGGCCACGGACAAGTTCCCGGACTGCAAGACGGAGCGCGGCAGCCCCACCGCGTGCACCGTGGAGTACCAGGCCGTGTACTTCGTCAACATGGAGGTCTGGGTGGAGGCGCGGAACGCCCTGGGGGTGGCCACGTCCGAGCACATGAACTTCGACCCCGTGGACAAAGGTAGCCTGGCCGCGCTCGCCATGGCGTTAGCTGAAGGAGTCTAGGTTTTGGTCACTTTGGCCAGTTCATTTTGTTGTTAAAAATAACATAGTTTGGACAAAGCAAAGTGCCCGTCATCCCAGCACACCCACAGCTAACCCCACGGGCCTGTGACCTCCGGGTGTTCTCACAGGAGATGGTCATGGTGTGTGTGCGTGTGTGGTGTCCAGGCTTGTTTAAAAGTTCTGTGCGTGGTCATATTTGTCGTTCTCTGATCTCTGAGCTGAAAAGATGGAAAGAGACGTTTAGACACTGCTCCTTCCTCGGATGTGACGATCGGACTGAGGGGGGCCAGGCCGGGTTGTGAGAGGAGAGAGGGCGGGTGTGCAGGAAGCCGGGGACCTGAGGCTCGTTTCCTCCTCAGTGAAGCCCGTGCCCCCGCGGAACGTGTCCGTCAGCAGCTCGGAGGAGCTGTCCAGCATCCTGAAGCTGACCTGGGTCAACCCCAGCATCAACAAGTTCATCAGCCTCAAGTACGACATCCAGTACCGGGCCCGGGGCACTGCGGCCTGGACCCAGGTACCGGCACTCCCCGCGGTTCTGCCGCACATCCTGTCTGACAGAAAGACGGGTACAATTCCCATCCGTTCTCGCCAGACCCCTGTGCTGGCTGTTGTCACTCTAAGCCTGACAACCAGAGGGAGGGCTGACAGTGGAAGTGTCCGTGTCCCAGCGCCAGCTGCTTTTGGACTGACTTCTCCCGAGCCCCGTTCACGCCCTAGGCTGTTCCTTAAGTTACCTGCCGTCTCGGGCGATCGGTCTTGACGCCGCGGGGTTTGTCTCTCTGTTTCAGATTCCTCTGGAAGACACGGCGTCCACCCGCTCCTCCTTCACGGTCCAGGACCTGCGGCCCTTCACGGAGTACGTGTTCCGGCTGCGCTGCATGAAGGAGGACGGCCAGGGCTTCTGGAGCGACTGGAGCGAGGAGGCGCGGGGGACCACCTACGAGGACCGTGAGTGACCTGTCCCGCCCCAGGCGCCCGCCTGGGCTGCGGTGCCACCGCCTCCTTGTCGGCCTAGTGATCATTTCACTCAAACACTTGGGCTCTCAGCCGTAGTGGACGTGTTGGTAGCCCAGCTAAGGCAGCCCCGGCCTGGTGTCCACCCTGCATGGGGAGGCGCTGTGGGAGGAGTGGGCCGTGGCCTGGCGTCCACGCTGTGTGGGGAGGCGCTGTGGGAGGAGTGGCCTGGCGTCCACGCTGCGTGGGGAGGCGCTGTGGGAGGAGTGGGCCGTGGCCTGGCGTCCACGCTGCGTGGGGAGGCGCTGTGGGAGGAGCGGGCTGGCGTCCACGCTGCGTGGGGAGGCGCTGTGGGAGGAGTGGCCTGGCGTCCACGCTGCGTGGGGAGGCGCTGTGGGAGGAGTGGCCTGGTGTCCACCCTGCGTGGGGAGGCGCTGTGGGAGGAGTGGCCTGGCGTCCACGCTGTGTGGGGAGGCGCTGTGGGAGGAGTGGCCTGGCGTCCACGCTGTGTGGGGAGGCACTGTGGGAGGAGTGGCCTGGCGTCCACGCTGCGTGGGGAGGCGCTGTGGGAGGAGTGGGCTGGCGTCCACGCTGCGTGGGGAGGCGCTGTGGGAGGAGTGGGCAGAACGTATGGAGGTGTCCCTGGCCACTGACCCACCGCAGCTGCAGGAGCAGTCCTGGGCACGAGACTGGTGGACTGTACGTGTGTGCTCTCTGGAGCCCCGGAGCCGAGCACTGTGCCTCGGGGTGCTGCTGAGGGACCACCCCCAGCCCAGACAGGTTCTGGGTGTCACCTCCGCACTGTGCTGTCTGCTTGTGGATAGGCCCCGTGCACCCCAGGCAGCTCCCAGCCTTGGGGCCTTCTCTCTGGGTTTGGTCCGCACGGCATTGCTTAGACTGGTTCAGATCCTCTTGAAACTCTGCTGACAGCCATGCTTTCCACTCACATTCATCCCCGTGTGTCTTGAGTCGGGCAGCCCACGGGGGTGTGAAAGCCTGCCTCCTGGTGCTTGGCGCTGTTTTGTAAAACACTGATTTCCAGTGCTGGTGGTTGTCCGTGAGCTCATTTGAGTTACTTCTTACCGCACCGATGGTCCCCAGAGAGACTCGGTCTGTTCTAACTCGTCTCGCAGTCTCACATGTGTCATGGGGGCTGGAAGCACATGTGTAGACAGGGCTTACATGGGACTCTCAGGGCTGTCTGTGGCCTCAGGGCTCTGAGATTACAGGAGCCTCCATGTCGCTGACTCCTCGGGCCCCTCTCCCCCGACCCCGGCTCCTGGCCAGACTGGTGGTGATGGGCCGTGTGAGGGAGGGACGGGCCGTGTGAGGGAGGGACGGGCAGGAGGGTGGGCATGGTAACAAGAGGGAGTGCACTCCAGGCTTTGTCTCTGTGACAATAAGACGCTTAGCAGGTGCGTGTCATTCCTTTAGGACCATCCAAGGCCCCGAGCTTCTGGTACAAGGTGGAGCCGGCACCTGCTCATGGCTCCCGGTTGGTGCAGCTCATGTGGAAGGTGAGCGGGCCACGTCTTTCTCCGGCTCCTGAGCACGTGCGTCGTGGGAGTGTGAGGAGCGGGGCCGTAGCTTCCACTCCGCTCACCCTCCCTTCAGCGCGCTGAGCAGCACAGCACGTGGAGCCCCGCCCTTGCATCTGCTGGCGAGGGCAGGCTCAGGCCGCAGCGAGAACCTTGTCAGGCCTCCGCGGGGCGGGAGGGGGCCGGAGTGGGGAGGATGCCTGTGAGGACAGGGACCGAGTCTCATCAAATCACACTGAAAAAGGCAGAAAAACACGGGACGGGACGTTACACTGCCCACGGCCCTTCCGCCTCGCCTCGCCCATGGGTGGTGCTCCTGCCCCCCGGTGAACACAGCACGGAGGCCTGGCCCATCGGTGAGCACTGAGGTCAAGCCTGCTGGCAGGGGCAGCACACGGCGAGTCAGCTCTGGTCTGGCCTCAGGGAACACGCTCTGACATGAAGTGTCTGTCACAGAATCTGCAGGGAACACACTCTGACATGAAGTGTCTGTCACAGAATCTGCAGGGAACACGCTCTGACATGAAGTGTCTGTCACAGAATCTGCAGGGAACACGCTCTGACATGAAGTGTCTGTCACAGAATCTGCAGGGAACACGCTCTGACACAAAGTGTCTGTCACAGAATCTGCAGGGAACACGCTCTGACACAAAGTGTCTGTCACAGAATCTGCAGGGAACACGCTCTGACATGAAGTGTCTTACAGACGCTGCCTCCGTTTGAAGCCAACGGGAAGATCTTGGATTACCAAGTGACTCTCACAAGGTGGAAATCACGGTCCCAAAACTACACGGTCAGGGACACGAAGCTGACGGTGAACCTCACCAGCGATCGCTACACAGCAACCCTGACCGCCAGGAACCTGGTCGGCACCTCGGACGCCGCCGTGCTCACCATCCCCGCCTGTGACTTCGCAGGTGGGTGTCCGAGGGCCTGGCTCGGGGGGAGGGACGCCTGTGAGGGCACAGCGCCCTGACCTCCCTCACGGCTGCGATGCTGGCTCCGTTAGCCAGCTGCTCGCCCGGGCGTGGCTGCCAGCCGCCCCGCGGCCTTCGCTGGCCAGGTACTCCCTCGCTCTGTCACGTCACTGTAAAGCTCTGGGACCTGATGAGCACACAGCTTAAACGTATCGTTGTCGGTAGCTTTCCGAGAAGAGAAATTATAATTGGCCCACACAGAACATCTGGGAAAAGAAGGGTTTAATACAGTCACTGCGTGTAAATTACAACGAAGTGCATTTGTTCTTGGAAATATATGCTAATGTTATAACATATACGCTACAGAAACGATAGCAAGATACATGGCACGGTTATGGAAATGAATGTAAAATATCAGTATTTTAAATGTTTAAATGTTCACTTACCAACGTGGTGTCCACGTTGTGTTTTGAAGCTACTCGCCCCGTGAGGGACCTTAAAGCGTTTCCCAAAGACAACCGGCTGTGGGTGGAGTGGAGCGCCCCCCGCGAGCCCGTGAGCAAGTACATCCTGGAGTGGTGCGCGCTGTCCGACAAGGCGCCCTGCGTCCCCGACTGGCAGCAGGAGGACGGCAGTGTGCGCCGCGCCCACCTCACAGGTACCTCCGGCCTCTGGCCTGACCTCAGGCCGGCTCCCCCCCCCCCCCCCCCCGCCCTCGGCCCGCGAGGGTGGTCCTGGGTGCGGCCAGGGCTCAGCCCAGCCAGGTGTTCAGTTCCTGCTCCTGTGTGTGTTCCCTGTGTGTGTGCTCCCTGTTCCTGTGTGTGCTCCTGTGTGTGTACTCCCTGCTCCTGTGTGTGTACTCCCTGCTCCTGTGTGTACTCCCTGATCCCTGTGTGTGCTCCCCGCTCCCTGTATGTGCTCTTGTGTGTGTGCTCCCTGCTCCTGTGTGTGTGCTCTCTGTATGTGCTCCCCGCTCCCTTTGTGTGCTCCCTGCTCCCTGTGTGTGTGTGTGTGCTCCTGTGTGTGCTCCCTGCTCTCTGCTAGTCACCAGGTGGGCAGAGCAGTAGCCACTCGCCTGGAGGGTTCTAGAGGGTGGAGTCAGGATCACTTCTCTTTGTAAAATGGGGTGCTTTCTGGGGAAATGACCCCAACTCTTTCTCGAGTCACACGACCATGTGGGCCTGGCTCAGGCAGCAGGCTCACCGGCAGACACATCGCCGGGCCAGGAGGCAGATTCCGGTGCCGAGAGCTCAGCGGTCTCACTCCGGACTGATTGCCGTCCTCACTCCTGACGGCATCAACGCTTTGCCCACTGCTCCCAGTGTGTGTGCTCCCTCCTCCCCGCCCCTACCCGCTCATGGGCACCGAGGGTGACCCTACCCGCTCATGGGCACCGAGGGTGACCTTTGACCCTCATAAGCAGGTACCTCTTGAGCATGACCCAGTCAGGGCTCCCTTCGGCAGCTGCCAGTTCAGCCGGAAGCTCGGGGTCAGGAAGTGGCGGTGGAGCCTGAGCCATGGGGCCAGGCGTTCTTGTCGCAGGAGAAACGGCGCTCCCCCCTCTTCTCCCCGCAGGGCGCCTGGCAGAGAGCACTTGCTACCTGATCACCGTCACCCCGGTGTACAGCGACGGGCCGGGGGCCGCCGAGGCCGTGCGGGCGTACCTGAAGCAGGCCCGTGAGTGCCCGTCCGCCCCCACCCCGCCCCGGGGGCTGCCTCCCATCCCGGGGGCTGCGATGGGGAAACGTCACCAGACCCCCGTGGCGTTCCGTCTGAACGGCCGTTCCTCCCCCAGCGCCCTCCTCGGGCCCCGTCGTGCGGACCAAGAAGGTGGGGAAGAACGAGGCCGTGCTGGCGTGGGACCAGCTGCCGGTGGACGAGCAGAACGGCTTCATCCGGAACTACACCATCTTCTACAAGACCAGCGCGGGCAACGAGACCGGTGAGGCGCCTGGCTGGGTCCGATTCCGTCTCCCCTCCTCCTCCTCCTGCTGCTGCCCTCCCGGGGGGCGGGGATCCCTCCGGCAGACATGGGGCGCGCCCAGGCCGCCTCCCTCCAGGAGCTGTCGGGGGTGAAATACACTCGGTTCCTTTTGACACTTTCGCTGTTGGACATTGTCCCCGGGAGCAGAGCCCCCAGCAGCTGACGGAGCCCGTGTTTCTTCCAGCCGTGAACGTGGACTCCTCCCACACGGAGTACACGCTGTCCTCGCTGACGAGCGACACGCTCTACATGGTGCGCATGGCGGCCTACACGGACGAGGGCGGCAAGTACGGCCCCGAGTTCACCTTCACCACCCCCAAGTTCGGTGAGAGCGGGCGAGGCCCTTCCTTTCCTTCAGTCCGACCGGGGCCGAGGCTGCTGGGGCCTGTCGAGTGCCTCTTGGGGTTCGCGGGACGGAGTTCAGGAATAGGCGTTTGGGCCGGGATCTGCTCTCTTTCTTTAAACGAGAGAAACGGTTTCCTGCCTTCTTCCTTGGTTTATTCATTGTTTTTGTCTGGTTTCACCTGGACCCTAAAACTCCCAAACCTGGGCGCCTTTCTCTGTGGGTTCGTCTGTCTGTGCTGGGTCTGGTCGGCCTCGTCTCCACTCACCCTGCAGCCCTGGCTTCATGGACACCAGCCTCCTGCCCCCCCGACACTGGCCTCGCGCCCCCGACACCCGCTTCCCGCCCCGACACCCACTTCCCACCCCTGGCTGTCACTCAGGAGGCCTTCCTGGCCTGGTCTTCGTGCCTCTGTTGTCCCTGATCTTCCTGCTTCTTGGTCTGACTCCCGTGGCCTCTGTCCTCAAAATCCCTCTTCCCTTGGTTCCTCTAGCCCTTTGTTTCCCAGGTAGCCCTGTGCCTCCCTCTACGCCTCCCCGCCGCTGCCACCCCCCCCCCTCCCCCGGTCACTGGGAAAGCTGCTCTCGGGAGCTCTGTGCTGGGCGGGTTCTGATCTGCCAGGACCTCAGCCGCCCTCTGTTCCCAAAACCCGCTCCCTCCCTGTTCAGGCTATGGCCGTCCACACTCATCCTTTCACTCAGACCTTTTCCCGTAAAGCCCCTGAGCGGGCCTGGGGACTCCACCAGACCACCCCGGCCCGCCTTTAACGGTCTCAGCGGGAGCGAACCAGCCATGGCCCTCGGCGTGCGGACGGGAGGCGTGGGGGAGGGGGCAGTTCCTCAGACAGCTCCTCCTCGCACGTGCTGTGGGCCCTCCTGACCCTGCGGCCCGCAGAGCTCCTCCTGGAGAGGGGGCCACGGGCGGCTCCGTCACAGACTCGTTTCCCAGCGGCGGCAGGGAGGGCGCCATCAGCGGGAAGAAGGTCAGGGACTGCCCTCCTCTCCTCCCCCTCCCGCCAGCAGCATTTGGCGGTCGTGGGGCCTGCCGGCGGTGCGCCTCCTGGAGGGATGGGGCTGACGGTGAAGTGTGGAACGATGGACACTGGGGATGGGCCCGTCTTCCCAGGAGCCCAGGTCTCAGAGACCTGGGCTCACTGCCAGCCCCAGCCGTAAGGCGAGGCTTACAGCACCGTGTGTCCCACGCATACCTGCCTCCCTGTGCGCACGGCACGTTCGCCTGCAGCCTAGCCAGCGCACAGTGGGCTGTCTGCTGAAGGCACACCTCCACAGGGCGCTGTGCCTACGGGTGCCCAAAGCCCTGCCTGGGCCTCGCTGTAGGTCTGGGTCGGAGGCGGGTCTGAGTACTCGGCTGAGGCCCGGTGGGAAGCGTGTCCTCGGCGTGGCTGAGCCCTCTCTCCGTCTCCTTCCAGCCCAGGGAGAGATCGAGGCCATCGTGGTGCCTGTCTGCCTGGCCTTCCTGCTGCTCACGCTGCTGGGCGTGCTGCTCTGCTTCAACAAGCGGGACCTGTGAGTATGCGTGTGCACCTCCCGCCCACCCCTCCCCCACCCCTCACTGCTCTGCTGTCTGGCGCGGCTTGTCCATGGATGGCGCTCCCTGGCCGCCTCCTCCCTGCGAGCAGAGTCCTGGGCGCGGTCCATGGAGTCAGCGCGCCGTGATGGAGCTCCCGTGAGGATGTGCTCTGCTTTTGGCGTCCGCGTCACCGTGTATCTTAGCGAGGAGGGCTGCCGGGTCGTGTGGCGGGTGCACGAGTAACTTTCCCGGAAACGTCACCTGTTCTCAGGCTCAGGGCGTGATCGGGGTGTGGGTTAGTGGGGACGTGTTCCCCTTCATGGCGAGTCCCCCCTTTGAAGCGACTCACAGGGAAGCCCCGGGCCCGGGGTGGGAAAGGTGCCCTCACACCCAGGGGAGCGAGGTGCTTCCTCTCAGCTGGGGTGGGGGTGTTTTGGAGGTCCCCTCGAGGAGGTCTGCCCACGTTTCCCGGCTGTGCCGGGGGCGCCTGGAGGCCCCGTGACTCCTCTGGACTCTGAGCTTGGCCTCCCCTCACGTGACGTCTGGTTCTGACTGGCTGCGCCAGCAGGAGGGACGCGCACAGTAGGTCTGTGCTGAGGGACAGGGACAGCTGCCTCGGGCGTTTCAGTCTTGTTCCTCTTTCTTCCTTTTGAAAAGTCCATTCGTTCCCCTTAGCTGGGCCAGTCTGAAGGCCGCCCGCCGGCAGATGTGGCAGCCGAGCCGTTGGCTCCCGGGGGGAGGGCTGTGACCGGGAAGCTCCCGGGGTCTCAGTCAGGATTGGGCGGAGGGACGTTTTCCCGTGGGATGTCGGTGACCAGCTTGAGCCTTGTGGGCGGCCTTTCGCTGTGACGAGGACGGTCGCTCAGTGCCCTGCGCTGAGCTGCTCAGCGGGGGGCAGGCTGGCTCCGGGGCTCTGGGTCGGCGGGCACTGTGGGAGGGCGGGTCAGGGGCCTCCGTGCTGCCGCGCCCTCACGGCGTGCCTCCCTCCGCAGGATCAAGAAGCACATCTGGCCCACCGTCCCGGACCCGTCCAAGAGCCACATCGCCCAGTGGTCGCCCCACACGCCGCCCCGGGTAAGACGGCTCCGGCTCGGGTAGAGGCTCGGGCAGATGGGGTGCGTGGGGTCACCACAGCTCCCCACTTGGACCAGAAGTCACGGGACCTCTAGGCCGGGAGGAGGACAGGGACACTGTCCGTGCCGCTGTCCCGTTGGAGCACGCTCACTGAGCAGGTCCGCCGAGAATGCCTGGGTTACCACGCGAAGCTTGCACGTGTCGGCACAGCTCCTGGCAGCCTGTAGGCGGGCACTTAGCTTCCTGTCCCATCGGCCCTCAGCCTGCGTGTTCCCACGCTGATGGGGAGGATCCTTCCCTCCTCGAGTCTGTATCACAGACCGACATGCGTGTCTTCTGGGTAGCTGAGTCCCCAGCCCGTGTTTTCTGTCCGTGAGCCCAGGGCGTCCCCGTCCACGTGGAAAGCGAGAGCTGTTCTGCCAGCAGCCGAGGCGCCACTGCCCGGGTCCCAGGAGAACTCCCTGTAGCAGCGCCCGTGGCAGATGGCGGGGCCGTTACCTCCAACTCTGGCTCCGCCCTCCCGTGTGCCTGCAGTTCCTGAGTGACGTGTGTAATGACGACCCATCTCTCCCTCTCCCTGTGTCTCCCTCTCTCTCCCTCTCTCCCTTTTCCCGCTTCCTCTCTCCCTCTCCCTCTCCCCCACCCTCTCTCTCTCCCCTACCCTCTCTCTCTCTCTCTGTCTCCCTCCCCCAGCATAACTTCAGCTCGAAGGACCAGATGTTCTCGGACGGCGCGCTCACGGACCTGAGCGTGGTGGAGATCGAGGCGAGCGACCCGAAGCCGCTCCCGGAGGAGCTGAAGGCGCTGGAGCTGTTCCGGAAGGAGAAGCTGAGCACGGGCGGCCACAGCAGTGGCATCGGCGGCTCCTCGTGCATGTCCTCGCGGCAGAGCCTGTCCAGCGGCGACGAGGCCGAGGCGGCGTCTGCACAGAGCGCGGCGAGCGCCGTGCAGTACTCCACCGTGGTGCACAGCGGCTACCGCCACCAGGTGCCCTCCGTGCAGGTGTTCTCCCGCTCCGAGTCCACGCAGCCCCTGCTCGACTGCGAGGAGCGGCCCGACGAGCTGCCGCCGCCGCCGCCTCCGCCGGGCGAGGGCGCGGACCCGCCGCCCCGGCAGCAGTACTTCCAGCAGAGCCCCGGCCCGGCCGGCGAGGACCCCGTGGGGCCCGGGCAGCCGCCGGCGTTCCGGGAGGTCCCGGCGGCCCAGGGGCCCGGCGAGAGGCTGGAGACGGGTGGGCTGGAGGCCGCGCTCGGCCTGGACGAGGGGCCGCCGAAGAGCTACCTCCCACAGACGGTGCGGCCCGGCGGCTACATGCCCCAGTGAGCGCCCGTCCCGCAGGCCGCTGGACAGCCGAGTCTGCGCCGCAGACCCACGGATCCCTCGCCGAGGTGACCACGGCCTTCGTGGGCCCAGACCCTGATCCACTCACACTACACCCACCTCCCCGCGGGGCTGCCACGGCCTCGGGGCAAGGACCTGTGCCAGGACGCCGGGGCGGACGCACGCTGTGCTGAGGGCTGAGCTCGCCAGCGGCCTCTGACCCGGGACGGCACAGCTGCTGGAGCGGGTTCGGGAGTTGAGCCTGCAATTGGACAGGCTCGGGCACCTTCCGGCATCGGCCGCATGGTGGCTTTCTGAACGCTGCCGTCCCTGCTCACAGCCCCTGCAGCGTCTGACTCGGCCGTGCCCAGAGGGACGGGGCAGGCTGTCCACCCGCACGCCACACCGCTCACCACTGAGGGCGAGCCTCCGTGGGAACGTGCTGCCTTTGCAGGTCATGGCACGGCTCGGTCAGTGCTGACCACGGCCCCGCCCGCCTCCACAGGAGGACGCAGTGGCTGTGTGGGAGAGACTGCCCTCCGGGGCCTGGAGACGTGGGCTTGTTTCCCTGTCCTTTCACGTGGCAGGACAGGCCGGCCCAGCAGCGGTTCATGGAGACGGACCAGCTGAGAAAGCAGTGAGCTTCCCTCTGACGGGCGCTCGCTCCCTCAGGACAGTGCTCACGGGGGTTGTCCATCGCCGCCACTTCCCGCCCAGGCCTCGGGGCGCCCTGGTGCCGGCTCCCCCGTGGGTGCCCCTGGCTTCCGGGAAATCCCGTCCGTCCATTTCCTCCGGTAACCAGTCCTGTCTGGTAGTTCCGGTGCGACCTCTGGGGTGCACAGTGAGGACGGGGCCTGGAGGATGTCGCATTGGAAGGGAGGGTGCAGGCCCGGCCGCCACAGGGCACCTCAGACCACAACGTGGTCACTGGCAGAGTTCCACTCGGGAAACACACGTGTGATCACTGACTTGGGATGTGCATCCTGGCCCCCAGAGAACAAGGGAAGTGCTTGGAGTTGGATGCCGTGGCCGAGGTGTGACCAGGCTGTGCATCATGCGTGTGATTATTTCACGCAGGCAGAGGAACCGGCTCTGGTTCGTGTCGGGTGTAGTCTGTGTGCAGAAGGCATCACGCTTTGAGCAGTTATGATCCAGCAGGTGGTACCTGGACAGTGTGAGCCGTCAGCTGTGGCTGCGTTGGGGGCGCCGTGTGGGCGGGCGGGCTGCCCTCACCGGCTCTAGCCCCTCCCGCAGCCTCCGGACGGAGCGGAGCCCCTCACCCAGCCCTCCAGCCCAACAGCGGCTCCGCTCCTGCGTCTCCCTCCCGCGTAACAGCTCTGCGCGCCTGTTGGAAACCAGCCCCTGGCATTGGGCAGCCGAGTCCTTCCCACGGGGTCAGTCAGCACGCGGGACAGCCCAGCACGCGAGCCGCGGAGGGAGAGGCCAGGCGGCTCAGTCTGCTCGGTCTGCTCACCGCCAGCTCCGTCCCCCCAGGAAGGAGTCATCCAGCTGCCCGCGTGCTGTGAGGGTGGGACGCACTTTCAGCTGTCCCTCCTGAAGGCCGTCTGTACGGTGGGCATCGCGGCGTGGGGGACAGACTCGCAGGCCGCCGTTGATAAGACCCTGCTGGGCGCCAGCCTCTCGGGTGCGTTGTGGCCTTTCCGGGAGGGTTGCCTGGCTAATGAGGACTATCGGGGTGCAGGAATGGAGGCGCAGTGAGACAGTCGGAAGTCTGTGCTCACAGCCGTCTTCTCCCTCGGGTCTGAGGAGGAACCAGGTGTGCACCGTGTCTCTGTGACGGGAGCTGCTGGGGGGAGCCACTCGCTGGGAGGTGTGGTCAGCCTGCTGCCCGGCGAGGCCACTTCTAAAGTTCTTGCACTTTTCTGTGAATCGAGAGAAGATGGAGCCACTCAATGGCAAGGTGTCCGGAGAGAGCGCAAAGCAGGGTCCCAGGCCCCCGAGACCTGGGGCCTGGCCCTCCCGCTGGTCCCGGCAGCCACTGCCCAGACCGTGGGCAGGTGCAGGTGGGCGTGTCAGGGCCACATGTGACTTCTTGTGGGTTCATATGTCTTTCACGTGCTGCTGGCGTGTGATGCGGAGGCCTGGTGCGGGGGCCGGTCGTGATGAAAACTCAGCGAGGCCTGGGGCCACAGGGTGTCCCTTAACCATGGGCCTCGGCGAGGGAGGACTGTGTCCAGGGCTGATCCATCAGCACCGGGCACCACGGGAGAAGGGGTGTGCTAAGGTCAGTGTCGAAGCCCTTCCATCTTGACACACGTGTGTGAACAGTAGACGTGGGCGTGCCCTGTCCAGTGCTGGTCCCCTGCACCAGCCCCGTCCACCAGGACACCAGCTGCCCCTCCTGGCCCGTGGCCAGGGCTGGTGGAGGGTGTTATCCGTGTTTTTCCTTTGTAGCGAATTGCATGTGCTCATCGTAACCAGCTATTTTATGTTGACATAACTCCACGTGTATCATACCAAGCTCTTATGTATCACCTGTAACCTTAACCGATGCAATAAATCCTGTTCAGGCTACGTGTCGCTGGTCACACCAGGTGTGCACCGTGGCTGGTCTCCGTGGAGGGCTGTGCCTTGATCGATGCCGTCTGGCACGATGGATGGGACTGGGCAGGTGGGGAGACGGCCGTGGCCTCCGAGCCGGCAGGCCGTACCAGACTTCCTGACCCCCAGGATGTGCTCACAGGGCCCTGGAGCCCACCCCCCCCCGGAGGTTGTCTTACCCCATTGACTGACCCAATGAACGGAGGTGCAGCGCCACCTTGTGGCTGGCCTGAGCCCTGCTGCACCCAGCCTTCCCTTGTGGGGAGCCAGCAGCTCAGCCAGCCCACCTGGAGGGAGGGACCGTCCATCCGCATTGCTGGTCCTCACACGGGCTCCACCCAGAAAGACCAGAGGTCTCCCTCCCACGTCCTGAAGGGTACACACATGCCATCAGGCTGGGGCGTGGGTTCCTGCGTTTTGGCCTTCTGTCCAGCTGCTGGGCAACTTCTGGTCTCACCCCCATGTCTGTCGTGGACCCTGATTCCAAAGCGACCATGCTGACAAAGGAGGGTGGGCGGGAGCCTGGGACCCGCATTCTGCGGCTGGAACTGCACGTGGACACCCCGGTGCAGGGAGGGCGGTCCCTGCGAGCCCAGGACATTCCTGTCATCCTGGAGGCATAGGCTGCTGCAGGTGTAAAGTGCAGATACTTATTTCCCATCATTAACCCTGGAAAATTACTACGAGGTAAAGATTAGAGCAACACAAACCCACAGGCTCAGGGAAACGGAACCCTCTGGGCCTTGGGGTTGATGAATAACAGACCAGAATTCCCACTCAAACCGACACCACAGCCAAATCCCCACCGACCTGCTCGGCATGGACCAACGCATGGAATGGCACACACAGGCCTACAACAGAGCAAAACAAACACGAACCCGAACCCTAAAGCAAACACTAACCCTAAACATGACTCTAATCCTAGCCTTAAGCCTAACGTTACCACTTATCCGAACTCCAACCCTAGCCTGAACCCAAAGCCTAAGCCTAACCCAAGCCCCAAACATAAAGGTAACCCAAATACAAATCCTAGACCGAACTCCAATCCAAACCTGAACCAGAAACCTAACAATCCTAACAATAGCCCTGGCCCTAACCCTAACCCTAGCAATATTTCTAACTGAAAACATAACCCTAACTGTAGCAACAATTCTTAACAGAGCCCTAGACTTAACCCCAAAAATAGGCCTAAATATATACCTACCCCTAGCCGTAAACCTAACACTAATGGTAGCCCAACACCTAACCCTAACCCTAGCAATAACCCTAACCCAATCCCTAGCCCTAGCCCTAATCCTAACCCTAGTGCTAACCGTAACCCTAGCCCTAACCCTAACCCTAGCCTTAGCCCTAACCCTAGCCCTAGCACTAACCCTAACCCTAACCCTAGCCCTAGCCCTAACCCTAACCTTAGCCCTAGCCCTAACCCTAGCCCTAGCCCTAGCCCTAAACCTAACCCTAACCCTAGCCCTAACCCTAACCCTAGCCCGAACCCTAGCCCTAACCCTAGTCCTAGCCCTAACCCTAGCCCTAACCCTAACCTTAACACTAACCCTAGCCCTAACCCTAACCCTAGCCCTAACCCTAGCCGTAACACTAACCCTAGCCCTAACCCTAGCCCTAACCCTAACCCTAGCCCTAACCCTAACTCTAACCCTAGCCCTAACCCTAGCCCTAGCCCTAACCCTAACCTTAACACTAACCCTAGCCCTAACCCTAGCCCTAACCCTAACCCTAGCCCTAACCCTAACACTAACCCTAGCCCTAACCCTAACCCTAGCCCTAACCCTAACCTTAACACTAACCCTAGCCCTAACCCTAACCCTAACCCTAGCCCTAACCCTAGCCGTAACACTAACCCTAGCCCTAACCCTATCCCTAACCCTAACCCTAACCCTAGCCCTAACCCTAGCCGTAACACTAACCCTAGCCCTAACCCTATCCCTAACCCTAACCCTAACCCTAGCCCTAACCCTAGTCCTAGCCCTAACCCTCATCCTAATGCTCTAACCTTCACAGCTGTTCCCAGTTAAAAGCCCGTGGGCTCTTCAGCTGGATGGCCAGCTGAGGCTCCTACGCTCTGGCTGGAGGCAGGGGGACCAGGGAAGCAGGGATAGGGAGGCGGGGACCAGGGAGGTGATGGACAACAGAAGCTTTGGGGGTCTCATTTGGGGTTTCATTGTGCTGCTCTGTTTTGGGGTTGCTCATTTTAGCAGTTTTTGGGTGGGTTATTTTTTTGTGGGTTTTTTTGGGGGGCGGGGCATGGGGAGGTGTACCACGGGGCTGGGTTCTATGGAAGAGGGAGAACAACGCGGCCCGTGTCCTCACAGTTCCATCCTGGCCGGGGCACGTGCCCGGAGTGGCTGGATCCCCAGTGGGGCCGTGCCAGAGGCAGCTGATCGCGATTCTCTCTCTTCGTTGATGTTTCTCTCTCCATCTCC